CCTAAACCCCTAAAACCGTAAGCCCTAAACCCTAAACCCCTAAAACCCTAAGCCCTAAACCCACAAACCCCAAGCCCCAAACCCTAAACCCTAAACCCCTAAAACCCTAAGCCCTAAAACCCTCAGCCCTAAACCCCTAAACCCCTAAAACCCTCAGCCCCAAACCCTAAGCCCTAAACTCTTCCCTGTCCCCCCGAACGGTGCCTTCTCGGCTGCCCCCGCGGAGGGCGCCAGCGCCGGCGACTCGAACTCGCGATCGATCCAGGCCTTCCCGAGCCCTAAACCCTAAACGTTCAGGGTTTAGGGTTTAGGGCTTAGGGCCTAAACCCTAAAACCCTAAAACCCTAAAACCCTAAAACCCTAAACCCCTAAAGCCCTAGAGCCCTAAAGCCCTAAACACAGGCTTGCCAGAGGCCGGTTTCGGGAGTTTAGGGTTTGGGGTTTAGGGTTCGGGTTTTAAAAGGGAGCTTCTGGGTTCCACAGGGTTTCAAAAGGGTTTAGGGTTTAGGGTTGCATAGGGATATAGGGCTTGTGGGTGTTAGAGGGTTTTTTTGTGAGGATTGGATTTCGGGGTCTTGAAGTGGTTTACGAAATCTCAGAGGGCTTATCACGGGGTTCATACGGGTTTGAAGTGTTTGACACTGTGAATGCAGATCCCTGATTCCTAAGCCCGTTCCTGCCGCACTATACTCGGAAAAGTCCCAGGACCAAAAAACCTAAACGCTAAACCCTAAACCCTAGACCCTAATCCCTGATCCCTAAACCCTAAACCCTGATCCCTAAACCCTAAACCCTGATCCCTAAACCCTAAACCGTTAGGTGGCCTCAAGTAAAGGAATGTTGGAGTTGTTTCGGATCGCAGAAGAGGGGTGAGAAGAAGACTTTTAAGGCATACTATAGGGGCCACACGGTTAGGGTTTAGGGTTTAGGGTTTAGGGTTTAATGGATAGAATAGAATCGGGTTGTGGGGTGTATGATACGATGGTTATGCTAGGAACACTCAGGGAGACTACTGCTAATTAGATTATTCAGGCTCGGGGCTCAAGGCTTAGGGCTGTAGGAGTTTCGGGCTTCAGGGTTGCAGGGGGTCGGGGATAAGGCTCGCAGATTTCAGGATATGAAAAGGTTTGGGGCTTAGGATATCAGGCACTTAGCGTTTCGGGCAAGAGCTATCCTCAGCTATCGTCTTTTATGGAGGCATTAGGCATCTTGTGCTTCGGGGAGAAGCACTCTCGTCGTTTATAGAAGCCTTCTAAAAAACATTGGTGACTCTTTACAGGGCTTGAAGTGCTAGGTAGTGAAGGTGTTGGGGCTCAAGGCCTGGTATGCTTACAATTTGTTAGGGTTTAGGGTTTAGGGTTTTAGGGCTTAGGGTTTTAGGGTTTAGGCTTTAGGGGTTTAGGGTTTAGGGGTTTGGGGTGATTTGCATTTTGAGGTCTCTATAGTACTACTCGGTTTGTAGGTGGAGTGTTTAGCGACTGCAGGCTTCTAACCTTCAATCCAAAAACAGACGAAACCTCAACCCTAGCCCCTAAACCCTAAACCCTAAACCCTAAGGCCCTAAGGCCGTAAACCCTAGCACCCTAAACTGTAAACCTGTTTATGAAACCCTTTACTGGCTCCCCGTTGGGGCTATATTAAAAATGATAATTTTTAACCCTTATTAGGGGTTTCTTATAACGAAAATGTAAAATTGTAGCCAACAAGGACCCAGTTTAGCTCTAAACACTGGAACCCACCCAAAGAAGCGAGGCTGCGGCCAGGATTTCCGCCGTTTCCACATGCGGCTCCCCCTTGTGGCAGACGCAGGGCATCTGGCCTCTATACTCCTGGCTTAGGGGGTTTAAGGCTCATGTCCTTTACTTAGGGTTTAGGGTTTAGGGCTCACGTCCTTTACTTTGGGGCGTAAGGCCCTGAACCGTAAACCCCAAGCGCTACTGCATGTTCAGTGTCGACTGGCTCTTGCGATTGAAGTTGCGGGGACCTTGGAGCGTGCATCCACCTCGGCCTTTTTTGGTGCTAAGCATGTTTGACATCGAGGTCTGGATAATTATCAGTACTAACTCTTACATTCCTCACATTGCTACACTGCAGCACACCTCAAGACCCCCACAAAGCTCTTGATTCGGGTTGTGGGTTGTGGATATCGGGCTTACTCCGGTATGCTACTGTTGGAAGGAGAAAGGTTCATGAGTCTAACTCAGCCAATAAACACTCAGCCAAACTCCGGAAGTCCTCCAACAGCCAGCTCGGCTTCGTGTCCTGGCACTGGCGTCATAAACTTCATACTCTAAGCCATCTTCTTGCTGTTCCGTGTAATGTTCTGGGACAGGACGGTCATGCCCTTTGTTTGCGCAGATGTATGCCTGCTGGTGTAACTGCATGTACATGCCATTGAACAGTCGTATGTCGGACGACCATCGCGTATGTAGCAATATGTCCGATGCTGTCTGCCTGCTCTACCTCTCTCTCTCTCTCTCTTTCCTTCCATTTCTTTGCTTCACCCTGCATGGAAGGACCTAAGTATGCATGTTTGTGCTGCAGCTTAGATGAACTTAGATGCATGCTCTAATACGACAGCAGTTAACAGTACAAACAACAATGACTGGTTGCGGCAGTTGCGCAGTTGTAGCGATTGTGGTAGGAATAGTGACAGTAGTAGCAGTAGTAGTAATCGTCGCCGTCGTCGTGGTAGTAACAGCAGCAGGAGGATTGGTGGTAGCGGTGGTAAAAGTAGTAGTGGTAGTAGTAGCATTAGCAGTACAGCGGCAGCAGCAGCAGCAGCAGTCGCAGTTGCGATGGCAGTGGCAGTGGCAGTGGCCATCGGTGGTCAGTGCAACAATCACCGGACTGCTGGCACTGCTTCACAAGCTCAAGCGTCCCTCGCAGCGATCGCTGTCGCATTAGCAACTTATATAACTGTTTGGCACTCTACTCCCAGTCAGCTGATAATTG